TCCATCACCCTGCACATGTGGCAGTTGGCGTGTGGTGGCAGCCGACATGGCTGAAGGAAGGCTCCAAAGAGGATCCCCAGGGGTGATTCAGCAAAAAAAGGCATGGTGGACAAGTACACCGGGGCGAGGCACGCTTATGTGATGGAAGGACGGGGGTTCGGAGGGGGGAGGAATATGCAGAAATGCGTGCAGCGGCGGTTTGATCCTGCCCTCTGTATGTGCATCTGCCACCCCACCAACAGCCATTGCCTGACAACTTGACGTGGGAGCTGCCTCCCTCTACCCTTCCTCTGGCATGAGGGTCTACCCAAACTTCATATAAGACACCCGTGAGGGCGGATCAGTGATGCGGAGGTCTCTGTCCCATGTCCGCACTCCTGGCCAACATGTATGGAGTGGGTGAGCATCCTCTTGATCTTCAGCTATCACGGTCTTGCACGATGGATGGTTCGAGGACTGTGCTGGTGCATCACAGCGATCACGCGGCGATAGGTCTCCAACCCGCGCAGTGTTGATATCTCCAATTTGAATTCTGGACCCGCGTGCTCGTTCCTTTTCGCGGGTCACTCGCATGGCACACCCGCATGCTGGCCAGTCTGGCCCGAATCACCAGCCCCAACCAGTACCGTGGGCCCAACCCTGCTGGACGTTTTCTTGTCCTCCACGGGGGGTTGCCGGACATTTCCGGGTGCCCCCCCGAACTTCCACGAGGAAGACACGGCACTTAAGTGTAGGGTTTTTGTAGTGGTGGTGGAACGATACACAAGGTTAGGATCAATTAATCACCCTCCTCGCGTAAGGGCGCCCTTACAAAGTAACAAGTGTTCTTAAGTGGTGTCGAACGAGCCCCTCCGCAAAGTACTGATGCGAGTACAGCGTGGAAAACGCCCCACCTCTCAGTGAGGGCAGTAGAATAAAAAATAAATAAAAAAGAGGAAAATTTGACAACATACTAACATAGATTTAGCCTTGATAGTGGTTAGATACATTTTGCGGAGTATTAGGGGCTCGCCACACCACTGTCGAAAGTCTGAAGATTTTTATACCTGTCAGAATAAATTCGACAGCCGCCCTCTCGACAGTTTGTCCCCCTTTAGCCACACAGCACTGTAGAATGGACGCACTTGTGAATGCAAGATGGAAAAAGATGAACGCACCTGAGGGTACGATAAACACTAGTACATCCCAACCTGACGCCCACTCACCAAATTTGGAGGAGAAGTCGACCGCGCAGCGGAGGACTGTTGAAAGCATCGGGGTCGCAGGTTGGGGATTCAACAACTTTCAGAAGGAGGTGTTGAGAAGCATTCTCTAACAACTTTCGAATTTTCTTCCCGTCTCCAATTTCGACAGGCTGTGTGGCCAAGAGAAACTATCGAAAATCGTGTTTTCGACAGTGGTGTGGCGAGCCCCTTAGTGTGAGTATGGCCTTGGTCACGGCCTTCCCTGTCTTCATTGATCACGATGGATTCTCTTTTTTTTTTTTTTCCTTATGAGGAGGGGGCCCACAGGGTCCCAATCTTTTATATTTTACTTCGTTTAGGTAGTCGGAGGCCGACCCTCCACCGGACCCCGAAAAATGCAGTATAAATCATTTTCCCAAATGGTACCAGTTGTGAAAGGTAGTGGTGGTTTAAAAGAGTTAAAAAAAAAAAAAAAAAAAAAAAAAAAAATGCCTCTTACCAACTGATAGGGCCTCGCTCCACTACTCTCCACATGCGCAAAAGACAAAAGATATGGCGGTGTACTTTCCCATGTTCTAATGGAGGATTCATTCGCATTTTGCACATTTGGTGAGTAGTGGAGTGAGGCCCATAGAGCGTCGTTAGACACTCCTTACGACTTCCTCAAGCTCCAAGGAAGTTTCATAAAGAAACTTCAGGATTTTTTGCGTCATCGTTCCACCTATCCTCGGGGAGGTCCCCAAAGGACGTTTCCTTTTGAGTTCCCCATGATTGGTTTCATACGATTATATGCGGCCGCGCTGAGAGTGTCTGCGGTTCAACGTCGCATGTCTACATGGGAGACAACGTGGTCAAGTGGCAGTGGACATGCACAGTAGTGAAGGCCACGAAAAGAAAATGAAAATGCGGGGACGTCGCCATTTGAAATTTGAATTTCGAAATGCATGTGGTGACGGCTGCGATGATTGACAAGCGGCGCGAGGTGGCGCACAAGCGATTCGGGCTTGGCAGCGGGTGGCATGTGGCAACTTCATCACTGTCTATTTCCCTGCGCTGCATGGTTACGTCCATCGTTGACGAAGCATGGCAGGGTGTGGATGTCGTTCGTGCAGAAGTGCATGGAGCACTACGTCGGGCGGGCGTGGACGTTGAGGAAGTGTCTGCAGGGCGATTTGGAGATGTCTGTGCAAGGTGGTCATATGTGGTGGATCGTTGGCGATGGACGGAGGCGGAGGCCTTTGGTGTGCGTCATTGACGTCATTGGAGACGACGGTGTCGGCCGTTGTTCTTCATTGTGTGTAGGGAAGAGTGTTAGACCGAATGAAGGCGAAGATTTCCGCGCCTAGGAGAACGTTGTTGATGCAGGGAATACATGCCGGAAACAATTACCTAGCCAATTCTAAGGGTGTAATTGATCGGTGCTATGCATTGGGTTGTGGTATCATTCCACAAACGACGCCAAAAAGGTGCATTGAACCCAGGACGGGGGGGATGTGGGAAGATCTCCGATAGTGTGATGACCAACAAACGACTACTTCCGTGATAAGTTGCGCATGTCTTCGTAAATGTTCTGGAAGATCACGGAAGCGTGTGCACCTCATCTTCAGCGGCAGGTAATGTTCTATAGAGAGCCACTTCAGCCCGACCAAACTGTGGCATATGCGCTGTGCAGGTGGCCGTCGGAAAAGATATACGATAACATCACCTCCAACTTCAGTATGGACAGAGCTTCGGGCCTCGTTGCAATATAGGACATCACCGCAGTGCTGCTGAGGGTGTACGGCAGGCTGAAGGGTATGTGGAGGTTGTTTCTCTGGACACACAAGGCGAACTTGGACACGCTCCCGCAGCAGTTCGTAGCCATTTGTATACTCAACATTCTCCTCTGGCATTGCATTTGGCGAGAATCTGATATGGGAAGTCCACGTGAATGAGTGTGGCGCCGTGTGGCCCTCCAGGATGAGATGTATGCACCCTTTTGCTAGTGTCCATGCACACTTTGACAAATGAGATGTATGCCCTCCAGGATGCTCTGGCGGAGCGCATGAAACACAAGTGAGTACTGGCCATGTCAATGGCCGTAGCCGTGATCACCAACGAGTTTGTGCTTTGCTTTTCGCGAGTAGTAGTGCATTTTTTCAATGAGCAGTAGTTTGCAGTTGGCGCTTAACGCAGGTAGTTTAGTAGTTGTTGTTTGTGTCCGTTGTGCACTCACCTCTGCATGAGGAGCAGGGTTCGGCATGTTCTCCACTAACCCGGTTCCATACTATGGTGGGAGGGCGAGGGTGACCATCTTCGTCGTGTCGGACGCCGTGTGGCCTTGCGCACGTATGGGGAGCGGTTAGGCTTTCCAGGTGGGTACTTGGTTTCCTTCAATGTTGTTGCACATGTGTGGACTGATGTGCTCTTCATGATGTTTGTGACGAAACAATTGCGGAATCTTTTAAATCTTCCATATCCTTCTTTTTCGTGCAACAGTTCTTCATTGCGGCGTTTTGCTTGTGCATTGATCCTACCGTTTCTTCATAGGGAAATACATTGCTATGTGTTTGGTGATCTTTTACATGTTCGTCTCATGTTCATCGCATTGCGATACTGTTCTTTCTTCATATCCGTTGCCACAACTGTCAAATGTTTCTTTTTGTGGTAGGAGCAAATGAAAGGAAATGGAGAAAACACATCGCAAATGAGTTTTTGTTTCCTTAACTGCATGCTTGAATCATGACAAGAGCATGATTAAAGAAAAGGAAACAAGGAATAGCTTGAACCATGAGCACGATTTGAAAAAAAAAATGCGAAGAGAGCGTAACAAGAGCATGATTGAAAAAAAAGAAAAAGAGGTTCGGAAACGAAAAACGAAAACAAATGAAAAGAAAAACATTACAAATACCAAACAAATGACCAACAACCTTTGTGAGAAAGAAATCGCTTGAATCATGGGCATGGCTTAAAAAATCGCAAAGCAAGCAAAATGAGCGATGAACTAGCAAATAAAGCTTATGGTGGACCATGGTAACACCGGACACTTCCGGACTGTCTTCCGGACCAGTGTCTGGACCGGWCCGGACTGTCCGGTGATCCGGACATCACTGGACACCGGGCAGTCCGGACCGGTCCCCGGGGTGCAAAAATGTCCGGACCCAAAAAAAAAAAAAAAAAAAAAAACCGGGGGGGGGGGGGGGGGGGGGGGGGGGGGGGGGGGGTGGGGGGGGGGTGTTGGCAGGCACTTACCTGCTTTGCACTCTGTAGTTCAGGCAGCAGAGCACGTGTCTTGCAGCAAATCAACCAGCACATTTAACTAGCAAACATGCAGAGTTGCAAACAGTGCAAAGCAGGCACAAGACTAAAGAAACAGAGATATAAACTTTGGATTTAGTAATTTAAGTTCACAACTTCATAATAGTCATATATAACTTAAAAGTTCGAACTTTGCAGTTCAATTCAGAACCTCAGAGTCTTCAGACTGGCAGCACTGTCAGTGCTCTCTCTCTCTCTCTCTCTCTCTCTCTCCCCCTAACGGGCAGCAGCAGCGGGCGCCACGTCGAAACGGCCGCTTTGAAATTGCTCGGGCCTGTGCGAAACCCACCACCTCAAAAACCTGCAGTGTCTTGTGTCTGGACCTCTAGGCCATGTCCGGTGGGGTGAAAGGACACTTAAAAATCACCCCGTTATTTTTCGAGGGGCGGCTAGGACCTGACCTGTCTCTTATACACATCTGCAGTGTCTTGTGTCTGGACCTCTAGGCCATGTCCGGTGGGGTGAAAGGACACTTAAAAATCACCCCGTTATTTTTCGAGGGGCGGCTAGGACCTGACAAACGTCCTGGGCCGCCCCATTTTTTTTTTTTGATTTTTGCCCCAGGGGCCTCCATCCAGACATGGGGACCGGACACCAGACACCGGACTGTCTGGAACCTGGTCCGGACATCCGGGCGGTTACCATGTGGTGGACAACAAAGAATTGATTGCACAGAGTCTATCAATCTTTAGAAAAGTTTCAAATTGTCGAAAACATGGCGAGAGATTGTTTTCGTCATTTGTCCAATGAAACCACAAATGTCTAACCCGTCGGTGTGCACCTTGCCCATTGCATCTAAAGGTCGTTACATTCATGCCCTGCCGTCGTCTCTCCACCAAACCGCACCCCAGAGCACCTGACAGTGTCCCAACCCGGTGGTCAAGGTGAGACGAGGGCGCAACATCGGTGGATCGACAGGTGCCGTCACAACCTTGACGGACATGGGCGACGTGGCCTTCCTCGGTATCGCCACATCGCTGCTGGACATGTTGCCACCGGAAGTTGCACTCTCTCCCCATTCACACTACAGGGCCCCTTGTCACTCCCATTATTGCCTGCTTCGTTGCCGAAAGGCCCTGTCCCCATCCATTCGCTCTTAGCAGCTTTGTCATCATTTGTCAATACCACGTTGTGGTTGAAAGTGATGCTGCAGGAAGGCTATTCAGGAATGTACGACAACCACGCACCGAGCAAGAGATGTGGCCTGCTGACGCGTTCGAGCGGCTCTGTGGGCAGCGTTCACGATGTGCTTCCGCCAATTAAAGGCCTGCAACCCCGTGACAACAATCGTTGGCTTCACGGCCAGTGATGCATAGTAGGAGGCCTCTTGATGGGAGCGAATGTCGTCGCCTCCCATACACATGATTCACATGCCCACGGTGAGAAGTAGGTGGAAGCAATCCACCAATCTGCTGAGCCTGTCCTTGTTCGCCCGCCCGTTGTCGGATCACTGCCACTCCAGGAGCGCATCGCGGAAGCAATCCGCGAGGCGGATCCACGTGGACTCTTGGTGCGACGACATGTCATCGTCTTCCGGTCTGTCTTCGATATGCGCTCCCACGAAACCACGATGGCACATCCATCTTCAAGTGGAGGGTGTGCATGATGACGACAGGCGAGACCACTCTAGACCGCTCCTGGAACTGCCACATACCGCACACATGATCCGTTGCGTAATCATAGATGACATAAGACTCTGCGTGAGCAAAACCATTTTACCTCAATGGCAACTTGAAGATCCAGCCATGAATGATTCTCATCGCCACACTCTCCGTTTTCCTCAGCCTTCGCAATGCAGGCTCACGCTGCGCACCATCGTCGATCTTGTACCGAGGGACTTTGGTGCCTAATAAGACGAGGTCATCTAGCGGTTCAGCTCCAGCATCTCGATTGGCGATGGTGACGACGTAGTCCATGCAGTCGTGCACCGTGTCGTCGACGAGCCGGCCTGCTCCGACCTTCCAAAACGCCTTTTTCGTCGACCCAAAGTTTATACTTCTCTTTAAACTCCGCCTCCCGCCCTGTCCTTTTCCTCCTGCTCAGCGTCTCGTTATCGTCTTTTTCTTCGGGAGTGACCTCTCTTTTTCCCTCCTCTCGCATGCCTTCGTCTCACCTATGGCCAGCAGCATGGCCGCTGGCCTGTTCGTGTGATCATCCATTCCCGCCCATCTCCGCAGCAAGAATCCTTGGTGACCACATGGGCGGAGGCGCCCGGGGGGGTCAACGTAACGTGACTGCGATGACGTGAGGGAAGCTTTATCCGTCCCTGACCCGCCAACCACAGTAGTCGCCGGGACACGGGTCACATTCACAGCCATTTGGGGGGCAGGCGTGGGTGGCCTTTGCTGACCTGCATCAGCGATGACCACCTCTGGTGATCACGCATTCCGCAGGAAACCCCACTACTCGCCGCTCCTTCATGGTAGACACCCATCGCCGCCAAGTGCTCCTTCAGCACACCGTCTCGCTTGAAGCCCAAAGTCGCACCACTGCCTGCTCCATGTCTGTCTGTCCGTCTGTCTGTCTGTCTGTCTGTCTGACTGCCGATACAGTCCACTCATAAAATCAGATCCTTCCCTCCAGCAACAGAAATGCCCTCCATTTAACAAAAACAAGAAAAGAAAAGAAAAGAAAAGAAAAAGAAGTACCCTCCCAACAAAACACAGCGGAGAAAGAAAAACAAACCTTAGGGCGTACTCGGACTTCCCCACGACTTTCCTGGAAGTACATGACCACTTTTCTGGCCCCGCGTGGATGCACCTGACCGCAATTACGTCCACAGAGAAATGGAAAAAGTCCTAGTGTGAGCATGCCCTCAGAGTCCCTCCCAGTCCACCCAAGGCAGCCTCCCCTGCCATATTTCTACATGAAGTCATACAACCAAATAGATCTGTATGTAGGCGATGAACTGTAGCTGTTCTTTGTTGTTGTCGGATTTACAAGCTTGCAGTTGTGTGTGTGTGTGTGTGTGTGTGTGTGTGTGTGTGTGTGTGTGTGTGTGTGTGTGTGTGTGTGTGTGTGAGAGAGAGAGAGAGAGAGAGAGAGAGAGAGAGAGAGAGAGAGAGAGAGAGAGAGAGAGAGAGAGAGAGAGAGAGAGAGAGAGAGAGAGAGAGAGAGAGAGAGTCCACCCAAGGTAGCCTGCAGCTGACTGCAGGATACGTCAGAATACAAGCTTGCAGCTGCTCTGCTTGACGATGACATGCACATGCTGAAACAGAATGGCATTTGTTTGTCTGACGAGTCGTCTTTTCGAAAACGCCGATGCTTCCCTTCGCGGTTTTCAGCTTCTCTCTGTCACATTGACTCATGCTGCTCCCGGATGCGGTCTTGTGGCCTCTCTCATTCTTACACTTGTGGAGAATGGGATTCGAACCCTCAACCTTAGCCTTGGGAGCCCACATCTGTGTAAAAGATAAACTTTTGCTGTGGCTGCGAGGTTGCTGTTTCTCTGAAATAGAGGTTGTCGACCAACTAGATTTGATCCTTTTCTCAAGGGGAAGCCCCTAGCCTTGTCCCCATCTGATTCCACCAGGATTCAAACTGATAAGCTGTTTATCAACGGTTACATGTCCGTACCATTGAGCCACATCATCAGGATTTGATTCTATCCTTTTCCTTGTACCCCTCCCTGACATAACTTTGAAGAAGTTGTTGACCCTTCTCTCTCTCTCTCTCTCTCTCTCTCTCTCTCTCTCTGACATGACTTTTAACTACTCAAAGTTGTTGACCCTCCCTCCTCTGTGTGTGTGTGTGTGTGTGTGTGTGTGTCCCTGACCATGCTTCCGCTCTGCTTTTCGCTCCCTACCTTTGAACCTTTTTTTGCACTCTGTGTCAAGGTAGTCTTCCATGTCTGGCTGCGGTTGAATCCGGTCCCCCTCGTTGCTCTGGCTCCAATCTGGTTGTCGAGTCCTTCTAAACCACCAGTACATGCGGGCCTCTTTCCGCCGAGGTGGAGTACCCGTCCGCGCCAAGCTTTGCCGAAATGCCAGCGTGGCGCTTTTCCTTTCCTTTTGGCTGGTGCCTCCAGCCATTCTGGTCCTATAGCCCCAAGCCTGCAAACTTTTCGATAGGAGCCAATTTCAATTCTCAGGTCTGCCTGGGCCATGTACTGGTGGTTCAAGTTCCCCTGTATCGATCCGTCGCGAACCCGTTCCTCCTCGACTTGCTTGCGGAGCCTTGCGCAGGCGTTCTTTCTTGAGAGGTACCGTTTCTCTTTCGATTTGCATGATTGCCCTGCTGCCCCACTTGGCTCTTATCTCTGTTCCTATTAGCACCTTGCGTCCTACCCCGGATTCTGCTCCCGGATTAGATGGAGCGACACTGGATTGGCTCAAAGTCAACTGCGCTGCTTGAAAATAAAGAGGGAAAGAATCTATTAAGTACCATCTGTCAGCTATTTTATTCCCTGCTCTCTCTGACAGTTTCTTTGGGGTATTTCTTTGGGATGACGAGTCAAAAAAAAAAAAAAAAAAAAAAAAAAACGGTTGGCGGCTAGCAGAAACACAAATAAAAAAATCTAATGGTCTTATCAGAGCATTATCGCTCGTCTCACGGAGATGATGCCCTGGGGGAAAATTAATGCTTAGCGGCATTAGCGCTCTTCAACACGATCATGAACTGCTTTTCTGAGCTGACGGTCGTTTGTACCAAAACGGGTCGCTGACAGGCACGACAACAGGGGTGCTGAGGTTGGCGTGCCGCATGCCGAGCCGGGCGAGCACCTGATCGTCGGCGAAGTTGTAGACCCTTTCGAACTCTGCGAGACAAGTCTGAGAGTTGTGGTTGACTGCGAAGCACAGCTCGCACCCGCAGAAGTGGACCACAAAAGGAGGCGATCGCCCGTCTCCTCTCCAATTAGAGAAATAATAGTTTTCCAAGTGAACTTGCTTCCAGAAGTAGTTAATCTCGTACTTGGCAATGATGAACTGCGTCTGGTGCCGCCATTTTGCAGGCTGGGTTGCTAGGATGTACATGAGCGTCGATTGGTCGCTTGGGTACCCCGGCATGTCCTTGACGACTCGTGAGAGGAGAAGGTACGCCTCGTCGAAACCCGCCCTCCAAATCCTCCGCATCATGTGAAACAACGACTGCGTGTAAACTGTGTTCCGGTAGAAAATGACGCCGGAGTTGATCGACAAGTAGTTCGACTCCTTGGAGACCTTGTCGAAATCCGTCCCGTTACCCCACAGAACGATGCTCTTCGTGCCGTACTCTTCCCATGGTATCTCAAAGTCCATGTCGGTGATGATGGTGTCCGAGTCCATCCAAATGTACCAATCATAGCCAGGATGCGCGGCAATTGTGTTGTTGATGACGCTGACCTTGTTATGCAGCCCGTTCACGCGATGTGCACCGCCTACGTGCAGTTCCAAGGAGAAGACAATGTCCATGCCATGAAGCTGAGCATAGTCCATCTTGTTCTTCAGAGCTCGCATCGTAACGTAGTCGCCATGAGGAGTCGTGCAACCGGGTTGACTTGCTGTGATTAACAGAACACGTGGCCTCGCAGGCGAAGCATGCAAAACGTCATCAACGCGACCCATCTCTCTTTCTCTACCGTACCATTGCACTTTCAGCAGATGGATCACTGTCACCACACACAGGAAGAGCAAAACCAAGTGTGTGCGGGACTTCCAAAACATTTCTAAACCATTCATCTTGAGCTCCTCGTTCTTGTCCCTCACAACTTGTCCTGCTTCCAACCCTCTCTCTCTCTCTCTCTCTCTCTCTCTCTCTCTCTCTCTCTCTCTCTCTCTCTCTCGCGCGCGCGCGCGCGCTCTGTGTCTCTGTCTGTCTGTCTGTCT